TTAGAATTAATTAAGTTTGTGATACAATATATTAAAAATATAAATATTAATATAGATGGGGAGAAAGAAAAATAATAAGACAGAATCAGTTGTTTCTTCAACTGATGAAGAAAAAGAAGAAGTTGTTAAAGAAACATCAGTTATTGAGTTTGCTTGTCCAATGTGCAAAAAAACCTTAGAAATGAAAAATGAATTAGAAATACAAAAGAAAGGAAACTGTAAATGTTCGTGTATTCCGACAAGTTTCAAAATAAGTAGAAATGATAAGAAAATGAATATTGATAAAACTAAAGACAGTATAAACTTAGAAACAGATGTTCATAATATTGCTATACGATTTGGGAGGGGAGTTACTCCATCAGATAATGGTGATAAGGAAACTCAGGAAACTGTTAAACAAATAATGAAAAATTAGTATTTAAAGAGTAGATTTAACATAATTGCAACATTTAGTTTTAAAAGTTTAGTTTTATAATTTAGTATATATGGAGGAACATTTAGCGAACATTGACAGTAGTTTAGAGTTGTTGTTTCCAAGATTAGAAAAAGTGTTGGAGCAAAATGAAAACATACTGAAAATCTTAAAGAGCTTGAATATTAAACCTACATATGATAACAATAACAATTATCAAGCAAAAGAAGTAGATAGAGACAGTAGCGAATACAAAAATAAACGAAACATTTATGTTAAAAAACTGAATGAAAAAATCATAAAAGAACCTAAACAATGAAGTCTGGATTACTATCAAGTCAAGTATAAAGAAGATACCAAGAAATACGTTTAATCATTAACTAACAAAATTTCGTGTCTCAAAAGCGGTTTGTTTATTCCTGCTACTTTGTAAGTTTTATTGCCCACAATATCATATTCAATTTTATCAATATTGAATATTTTATTAGACCATTTAGAGTTATACTCCTTTCTGTCAGTGTAATTACCCGTCTTCTTTTGGAACACTTTTACCTTGTCGTTCTCCACTATTCTGGGATACTTTCTTTTGTTTTTTTCTCGTAGTTTAAGATTGACCTTTACATTTATTTCATTGTCGTCCTTGTGTGCTTCAGACGGTGTCATCCTTGTTGATGAGTGTGATGTGCTGTTATACTGTTTCAATGCCGGCGTTAGGGCGTCGGTCCATTTCATGTTGTTAAACCTAACTCTATCGTGAATTTTGTTTTTCATCGTTCTAATAAAACGCTCGGCCACATTTGCGTGGGTCTTCGTGACGATGTGGTTTATTCCTTCACTGTTGAAGAAATCCTGAACTTGATTTTTAGTTGCAAACGCTCCGTCGTCATCAGAATACACGGACATCGGATAACCCATCTTTTTAAAGCTTGTTCTCAACGCCTTCAAAACGTGCTCTCCGTCTCTTTCCTCCATCGGTATTACATCAGCTAATTTACTGAAGATGTCAATCACGACTAAAGCATACTGTGGAACGATCTTGTCTTTTGCTAAAGGTGACATATGCATTATGTCTATTTGATATTCATATAGCGCGAATGGAGCGGTATAGGAATTAGTACCTCTATAATTTTTGATTTGTTTATTTGGTTGTTTCTTTAAGAAAGACTTTACATCGTCTAATGTTATTGATGGGTCTTCTTCCTTTGCCTTCTTGTGTGTCGCTTGTGTGCTTCCGAAACCCTCGTCTAAGTCGTAATAGATGTTGCTGATTATTTGGTCTTTTGTTAATCTCGCCATTATATTAAATTGTTAGAAAAAAATTATCAACATAAACCCCGCCCCTTAACATAAAATAAAAACTACTTAAAGAAATATTAACTTATTATATTAAGTGAAAATATGACTGAAATAAGATTAGAGGACTTGAATTTAGAAAATGTCGGAGTGATTGCTGACTTATCAAACTTGGTGCTATCAGACGAAGAAGATGATGATAATGACAGTTATAAAAAGGAATTAGATGAAGAGTTAAACAAAATAAAGGGTTTCATCAAAAGACACCCTTTGCCAGCAGTTGATGAAAACGAAGAATTCTGGAATGATGTCATTAGCAGGTTTAGGGATAATAGCGGATTAAACTTGATGACGATATACTCATTTGTTAGGTTTGACATCATGAAAGAAATGTATGAAAACCTAACAGATGAAGACATCATAAAAGACTGTGGTAAAAAGTTAAACCGTGATGGAAAGTTTAATGCAATGATTATTAACCACTATATCTTATCAGGAGCGATACGGAAACTAAACAAAGAAGACAGTCTAGTAGATGGACAGATGCGAATTATTGAATTCTGGTGGGATGGAATAGGTGAATGGAATGCGTGAGTGATTTAGTTTAATGATGTTATTCAATTATAATATGATTAAACCTAGTTTTTATAATCTATCAACAAGGTTAAGACATTCAAATTAAACCTGAAACCCAGACCAGCCGACCAGCAACCCCTAGCCAAAACTACTTAAAGAGAAAACACCTTATATATAAAGAGAAAAATGAGTGAGGATAAAAATGTCAGAGAATAATTTTATGGTTAAGAATTGTGTTAGCTTACCTATGGAAGCATTGTTAAACATCGCTTCTTATATGAATGGCAATGAAGGGTGGCAAAGACTAAAACAGTGTAAAGCATTAAGGGTCTTACAAAGGAAATGGAAACCGTCTATTTTTGAACGAGAAGGAGAAGGAGAAAGTAGATATTATGTGTTGATTAGCAATATATGTTTGAAAGGTGATAAAGCACTTTCATATGCGTTGAAACCACCAAAAGAATTATTAAGAATGATGAAGTATGATGAAGAAATAAAGGTTGGAATAGAAGTTAGTTCGAAAATTATGTATAAGAATAATATTTGCAACTGTAGTTATTATGCATCAAGCAAACAGAACAAGATAACAAGTAGAGCGTCATTACAATTTTATATTGAAAAAATAGTTGAAGAAATAAAACAGACTATGAAACGAAACGAAATCATTACTATAGAAGATATTACATTTGAAATTTATACATAACAGAAACAATGATTTCATGGCTTTATCATAATATTTAATTATAATATGATTAAACATTGTTTTATAATCTAACAAGAAGGTTAAGACATTTAAATTAAACCTGAAACCCAGACCAGCCGACCAGCAACCCCCTAGCCAAAACTACTTAAAGAAATATTACCTTATATATTAAGAGAAAAATGAACGGTGATGGAATCAATAATTATATCGATAAAAAATGCTATGATTGTTGTCACTTCAAAAAAGAAAATATGGAATTGTATAAATTGAGTTTACCTAATGAAATAGTGAATAATATTATTAATTATTCGATGGATGAAAAAGACGAATGTGAAAATTGTCAGGAATGGAGAGATAATCAATTTTTAATCAAATGTCTGTTGAGAATAAAAGGAAGACATAATAGAAATGTGGAAGATGATATTTTAATATTTCTAACTGTAAATAAAATACCACCTTACGATTATGTTAAACAGTTTCTTAAAATCAGTAAGAAACAATATGACATGATTTACGATATATTATGGATGTTGGGTTATAGTCAAGAGAAAGGAGAAGATGTTAAAGAAAATATCAAATTATTTATTGAAAGTAAAAAGTTTAATGTTCAGAATACAGTGAGAGATGTTAATATTATTTTTAAAATGATGTATGAAAGAAGTAAGACAAACCAATTAGATTATTATCCTGAACTGAAATTATAATCATAATATAATAATAACATGTAAAATCTTATATGTTATAATTATACTGAACTTTTAACCTATAACACATAGCTAGACAATCACATAAAAATCACATAAAAAGAAGTTGTGAAGATATATTAAGAATGGTTGTGAAGCAAACTATAATGAATAATTATGGGATGACAGAAGAAAAAGCAACAGAAGACTATGGTGAATTCTTCAAATGTAACAGATGCCTTTATGATAAAACAATTGATGAATTTGGAAATGTAAAAAGTGGAAAAAGATATAAATATTGTCAAGAGTGTAGAACGAAAATAAATAATTGTAGAGATAAACGTCAAAGAAAACAAACGACCCAGCAACACCCCAGAACTTGATAACTACTAAAAGGGTTAACTCTTTCAAATGGAAAAAATGTCGGCCCCCAGCCCAACAATGAACAAGGCGACAATTTACCCAAATGATTACCTTAACGAAAACGATAAATAAGCTCCCTAAAAACCCTCTTTTAAAAACGAATAAGGGGGAACACAGATTTGAGATGAACATAAAAACCATAACAGGCAACCCTCAACAGGCTTCCCCCAGGATCACCCTTTCTTCCATTTTTTCCCCCCCCCGCAATAGTCTGAAATGATGCCCCTGGGGAGGGGTTAGGGGAGGGGTAACAGGTAAAGAGGTAAGGAGCATTTTTTGTGTTTAACACGCCGTCTGTTGTCGGCGGATATGAGGGAATCTTCAATCTAAGTTTCATTCGGGCCTTGCTGGTTCTCGTCCTAGTTTGATCAAGTCCCAGTTTCCAGTTCCATTCCCAGCGCTGCTCCAGTCCTTGCCTCGGGTTGCCAGCACCACTTCAAGTCTCCACCACAGGGGATTTCATAGGTTCTTCCAGGATTCTTCGGAGCAAAAAGCGCCATTCACTCATCCTTCGAAATTCCACCCTTACGAACAAATTGTTTCATAGCTGACATGCAGGACTGAAAAAAGGACATTGTGAAGAGCAACCAGTATAGAGGAAATTATACTTAACTCAATTTCTGTAAGAATTAGAGTTGAAGAGCCTCGTCCTAGTTGGTTCTAGTTTTAGTTGAGAGATCCTTGGTTCTAGTCCTAGATGGGCAAATCATGAACAGAAGAGAAAGGCAGGCCCCCTAGGGGATAGCATATCTTTGTATATATGTATATACACATATATATGTATATTTATATTTATATAGATTATTGACATGCATGAAGCCACTTGTCCTGCTGCGCTTTTGGTGCCCCACTTGTTTTGAACCCCGGCCTCACGAAGTCTTGTTTTGCATCCGGCTTGTTTCCACGTCAGGACAGCCGCGATGCCAGCGTAGCATTTGGCCTTATCACGGCAGTTTCTTTGCTGTCTACGCCTTGTTCTTAGCACGACGCATTGCAAGAGGGCCTTGTGCAGAAGCATGGTGCGAATGACAGTCCAGCCCTTTTTGTGTCAAGCAAGATCCTGCCCACATCAGAACTGAGGATGCTTGGCGCAGCTGTCGGGGCCTTTCTCTCCATGAAAGGAGGCGGGTAAGTCAGCTGTTTACTAAAAAAAAAAGAACTCCGATGACTCCGATGTAGCAAAAACTGAAGCCAGCTTCAAGCTGGCAGGTGTGGCCGCCATGATAGCGGTCGACATTGGCATCCTGCTGCCATATCTTGCTTGACACTCAGTGGCCATGTGGCTCTTGAAATCTCACATTGCTCTTCTTGTATGCGCGGTATTGGAGTAAGCTGTCCATGTGCTTCAGCAGTTTAGGTCTGCTATCTTCCGGAGCCGTTGCCTTAGCGGGGTTTGCAGCGATTGGGCCAGAATGGATTGCTACTGTTGACCACCATAGAAGAGCCGTAGGTCACCAAGACTGTTGAAAACAAGTGTCAAAGTTGATTCACAAACACTAGCTTCTATCTATGGGCCATTCCTGTCAGAGCCGTGATGCAGGCAGTGAACTTACGGAGGGCAATGTGTGTTGACCGTATGGTTCTTGACTACACACTTCTTTTCCAAGGACGCTTCCAGTCTCCAAGCGACAGCCCCTGCAGTGGCGGGCAGCTGTTCCTGGACTTGGCATGAGTTGCTTGGCATTGAGCGTGACTTTGTGATGCAGTTGCGTAGATAGTGTGTCGTGCTGCCGCGATGCCAAGTCACTGGTAGTCACTCATGTCATGGCAAGAAAGAAGGAGAGCCCAGGTATTTTGGCCAGCTTGAAGCCTAGCGTCGCCGCTTCACATGTGCAATCAATAATGAGGCGTTCCTGCATCTAGGACAGCATGCCCATATGTTTTGTTTTAGCTGCTGCAAATGAGCACTGCACGCGTGACCCTGAATTGCCGTCCGGTGGCTGAAGGAAATGGACTCTTCCTGCAGTTGTCTACCTTGGTCACTCGGCACGCACATGCCATTATTTACGGAGACGGTGGTTTGGCAGCAGCACCAGGTTATCGGCAGCACGTTTATTGGCTCTGGATTCCAGCGAGTAAGCTCTAGCTTCCTTCAGCGACTCGGCAAGTTAGATGCATATTGCCGCATTGTCACAGATGCATAGCAACCATGCATGTTTCTAGCTTCATATGCTGCAGGAAGTATATTCGCTGGCCCAAACAATGCAACAACCTGGCGATAATCATTGGTGGGACGTCGTCCATCCTTTGGGCGGGAGCTGGCCTTTCGATCACCTCCAGACTGGCAGGTGATATCGGAACTTTAGGTGGGATACTGATTGGAATCTAGGGACAGAAAGTATCTGAAAAGAAAGACGTCTGGTCACATTCACCTCACGCCACGGGTGTCAGTGTCAAAGTGCTGAACGGGCATGCCCCTGAAGGCTTGGCTTTGTGGTCTGGCACCCTGTACATGCTATGTTTTGCCTTCATTACAGAACAGTGGCACGTCTACCTGCTCAACGCAGTGGCTTGGATTTAAGAATTGGTTTTGCTTATCTACAGAACAGCAGCAAGGTACTGCTAGGCCCACAAGCCCTGGCATTTCCAGCTACTTCGGCAATCAAAAGCCGGCTGGTGGCCGAAAGTGAGCAGCTCGTTTACAGCAATCCACCACGTGCTTTCACCTTCATGCTGGCTTGCTGCTTGCCTCACAGACAGCTTCAATGCAAGCGTGAGGCAAGGTCTTCTTCAGGGCCACTCTGCTGCGCTTGCGCTGACCCCACAAACTGCACCACTGTGCGTGTTATTTTCCCAGGTGCGCTGAACACCGGCAAGAGCATTGCCGAGTCTTTGGGCCCCTTGCTTTTCGGCCTTCTCTTTGAGGTGCAGATCAAGCTTTCCTTTGCACAGCACATTGGTTCAAACCCTGAGATGTTCAACAGCTCGCTCGAGCCGGAGCGCAGACACCTTTCCACAAGGACGATGTAGAGCCGCTTGCGAGAGTTTTGATGAGTGTCATGCTGACTGCTGAAACATGGCTTGTGACAGGATACCAATCCTGGTGGCTTTCGTTGTATCGCTGCCACTCTTATGTCTCGTGGCCATCCTGCCCCAGAAGCTGGCTAGTGCTGTGACTTGAAATTCAGAGGCATGGCATTCATTTCAAGCATTTCACTTCAAAACATTATTTCAATTGCGGGGCAGGGCTGCCCTGAGATCAATTGGCAACATTTGGCCTGCCATCCTGAGGTTACGAGCGCCCAGAGCAAGGGATAGAGCTCGCAAACCTCGAGGCGGCTGTGGGAGATGCAATTTCACATGGAGAACCATAACCAAACTTGATCTGAGCCTTTGTGATGTGCAGGCTGAGGATGTGGGATTGCTGGACCCGTCCCAAAGGCAAGGAGACACGGCTAGTGGTCAAGGTCACATAGAATGAGGCTTGGATTGAGCTGCCTGCCAGGGATAAGCTGCTGTAGCTGTAGAGGCGACATGCCTCCAAAGGCACCTGTCGCCGGTGTTGCCGAAGAGATTGAACTTGTGAATCCGTGTGTGAGATATGGAAGCTTGGCTCGCGACATTTGCTGCATACGGTTGGGAAGGGCTTGGGGCCGTATGAACGGCACGTGTGCAAGCCTCCTTGTCTCTTGGCACGGCTTTGTCGGGACGGTCTCACAGTAAGGAATTTGCAATGCCTTGCAGGGCAATTTAATGTCAGCAAAGACCGTTTGACCACATCCGCGTTCGCTCTACTGAGTCCAGTGTGTTACGCTCCGTGTGCTGCTTCAGCAATGTTTGCATTGACATGCTTCACCAACCAATTGCCGCAGGAGCGCAAAGGCACAAAGGCCATTTGCATGTTCATTTTTTCGGAGAGCAAGCTCCCAATCACCCAAGTGAAGAACACTGACGGGTGTGGCGTTTTTCAGGGTACCTCCAGTTGGTTGGTTTTAAAGGGAAACCAAAAGGAAAGCAACCATTTTTGGACATTTGAAATACAGCAAACCATGCTGACCTGATGAGCGGAGTAGACGCTCTGTCATGTCCGGTGCTCATCGAAAGCAGTCTTCACAGTCAGCATGAGGGATCCTGCACGGGAATTGACACTCCGCATTCAAGCAGTTTGACGTAGGTTGCCACCTTGGAAGCCTTCTTCCAGTCATGCAGCGCAGGTGCTGCAGTCAGAGCACGCGGTGCATGCGAGCGAAAAGCGATGCTGGGGAGGGGGGCGTGCTGCATTGGCGAAGGTTTTCTCCCGTGCCGTATGCCTCACAATCAGAGCTTCTCGAAATGGGGGGAAGCCCTTTGGTTTGAAAAGGACGCCGCAAGAATCACCCATTCATAGGGGCCTTTGATTTGATAGAGATACGAACAGACACGACGCATAAATCGAGTATTCGAGACTGCCAGTCACTGTAGGCCTCGATTCTGGCGCATCTCTGTGAAGGGGACCATGCAGAGGTCGGGCTATGTTACAGTCGGTGCGTGTGGAGTTGAGGAATGCGTGCCATGGCCAAGCCGGCATATATTCGGAATAGGCAACATGCCATAGAAGCCATAGCCATAGAAGCCTTAGTCAAAAATGAGCAGGGGTGCGATAATGCTTATGCGAATGGATGCTTGCTCCGAGCGAGGAACCGCATGTGATTGCAGGTTCCATTTAGCTGGTCAGGAACGCCTCTTCGACGTGTCGGAGGCAGTGCTTGCATATTGAAAAACCTGTTTGTCCTTCAACCATGCCGATCTTCAGGGCAGCATTGTGGTTGAACATCGCGCATCGCATGGCTTGCTTTAGCACTCGAGCCAGCGGATGAGAAGTTCTCCATGCCAATGAAGGCAACTGTGCAGACACCCATCGCTACCTTCAACAGCCTTCCGCTGAGGCCACAACGTATGGACATGTGTCTGATGCTTGGTAAGCATGCATGTTGGCTTGAATCGTTCTTGCCTGGAGTGTGCTGCAAGATGTAGAAAGGCCACCGTGAATGACAGACTTACACTTGGGTGCAGGATCAAAGGCGAACTGGAGCCTGGCGCCGTGAAACGCAGGACATTGGTGTCACACTTCATCCACATCACATGCGGCATGAGTTAGAAGTGGGCGGCTTCAGAGATTTATGGAATGGTCCTGTGACGGAGGACTCCCCCCCCCCTAAAAATGCTGTTTTCCTTTTGGTTTCCCTGAGAACCAAAACAGGGGTTTCCAAAAAGACAAGACACACCCACATGTAACTACCCCCCTCATGAACTTATGTTTGCCGTGAAATTGTGTACGTGTACCCGCACAGAAGCAAACAAGCAAGGGTTGAGACTTGGCAAAAAAACACGCCCCAAACGCACCCCACATTGCAGCATTTCACTATGCCGGCATGGACTGTGACTGTATCCGCCCAACAAGGCTTTAAATCGCTTTAACACACTGTTGGATCCAAATTTAAGATTCAAGGTTCCCAGCACTTTGTTTTGAATCTTGAGACCAGTATGGGGCACGCTTGAAAGTACTTTTGGATCTCACGATTCCCAAAGCTCTAGATCTTGAATCTTGAATCCAGTACGGGGTACCCAAAACACTTCAAAGCGCTTTCATCCAGGTCAGGTAGCTCATGGATTCTAGATTCAAGAACAAGAGTCCTGCGAATCTCGAATCTTGAATCTTGGATCCAAAAGTGCTTTAACACGCTTTGACACGTTTTCGAAGCCTGTTCCGGGCAGAACCTCCTCACAACACATGCAAAACACACATGTTTACGGTGTTTTTTCAATATCCAGGGTATTTCGTGAAGTCATGGTATACAAAATGAATTCTCCAATGTCCATATGCTGAACTATAAACTGTATTTATCGCGCACAAGTCCAAAAAAGCAATAAGGTGCACACCCAGCAGGAATGGTTGAAAGTAGGCGCTTTAACGCGTTGAGGCGATTCAAAGAACATTTGGATCTACGATTCAAGATTTCCAGGACTCTAGATCTTGAATCTTGAATTGTTGTTTTAGCAGACAGCTTGGCATTGGTCCATTGGTCAGGGCATATAAGATGTGCATGACATGAGATGATGAATTTCAGATGCGTTTCTAAATGGTTGACACTTTCGCGCCGGTACTGTACCCTTAAAGGCATGTTTTGCAGTCAAAATGACAATTGAGTGAGGATAACATTAGTAATGAGTCGGAGACTATGAACAATCAAAGCGAAGATGGACACATGTTTACATCAACCATATTAGAGAGAACATCACGATTTTTATTTGAACGCATATGTTTTTAGTTGTGTTGATTGACATTTATGAAGACTTCAGAGATGTATGTATGAACGATCATGGCGTAGACCCTGTGTATGATTGTAATTTCTTCGCCTTTACACTTTTCCTAACTTTGCTATGCGGTGTTGTATCAGGGTAAATGCGGGTGCGATGACGGTGTCCCAGCACTCAATCCGCAGATGCCAGCTGGCTCAAGCAAAGCATGAGATGCATGTGAAAGTGTTAGGCAGCCGAGGCCTATTTATCAAGCCGTTAGGCAGCCGAGGCCTATTTATCAAGCCTGCATCAATCCTTGTTGTCTCTGGGCGCAAAAAATACCGCATGTGGCTTGCTGCTTGCAGAGAAGTCGCAGATTCAGTGAATGGGCACTGCCAATGGACACACGTCGCTTGCCTTGAACTGCAATGAGCGTGTCCGAGGCCTTGAACATGTTATTGTCGGGCCTTTAAACGAGCAAGGGTGTTGCTGTTGAAATATCACTGCATACTTGCTATTTGGGAGGTGATCATTCATGGTTCCCACTTAGACGTCTAGATATCTACATGCGAGCCTAAATGGATGATGCTTGAGGATCATTCCTGTCCAAATGATGTTCTGCATCCATAGGTGCTGAATTCCTCGAGCAAGTGACGCCGGAAGTCGCATCAGACTCTGACCACAATATCGTCCTTTTCCGGTTTCCGAGCTCAGGCACGTCTAGCGGATGAGAGATCAAGCCTGGACCAGTTTGATGAAGTCACAAGACAAAGAAACATGTGATGGCAGTTCTAGCATTTCATCAGAAGGAGGATGTGTTAGTTTGCCCAGAGGCGCCGATGTCAGCCTGTTGTCCTGGAACATCCTATGCAGCTCGGCACCAAGTACATTGCTTCAGGTGCAGACAAAAGGCTGTTTCCATGCACGTAGCCAACGAGAGGCAAATAATCCGCCACAGCTTAGGTTTGGCTTCAGTGCAAGATTTGGCCACCCCTTCGATGGCTGGAATCGGCGTGTGGAGACAGAGGTCCTTAATCATGAACATGTGGCAGTTGAGTCGTTGCAAGTTGCCTGTCTGGCCATTCTGGCACTAGCTGTCAGGAAAACTACGTGAAGCGGTTGGAGCGGATGTCTTCGAAGATCAAGTCTTATGCAAAGACAATCCAGCCTCAAGCTGTTCTGCTGCAGGAGACAAGCAACCAATCAGGCGTCATGTGTACTCACATTATCCCAAGAAGTTACTCCTTGTTGAGCAAGCGCAAAAAGCTAGGGTTTTGCCATGCCCATTTTCGAAAGCAGTTTCAAGAGCATCGTAATTGTTGTGCATGGACTACAGAGTGGAGGAGTGCGCCAACGAGTCAGAGTTTGGGCATGACATCATGCCGCACCTACTCCAGCCGATGATACAGTGGGGTTACAAGATCCTGCAGGAGAGAGTTGAATGCAGCTTTATAATGAAGGTATGCACAAGGTGGATGCCATGGTCAGCCGAGGCGCCCATTTCTTGTCGAACAGTTTCATGACACTTGTCATACAAGATTACATCATCTAACATTTTGGGCTGCTCATTGCACTGTTGAGGAGGGCGTGCGGAAGATGTGTACATGCCAATGAAACCCGCAGACTGAAGCGTAGATCCTGTTCAATGTCACAAGTTCACAGCATTCCGCGTTTGGGGCTGGTGGTTAACCAACTTCAAACATGTTTAGGCCACCCTGCCATTGAGCACCAGCATGGCCTGGCTAGTTTATAGCTCCTTGCATATGTTGGTCTCCTCCACATTCCATCTTATTGGGGTGTTTGCTTTGAGGTGCGCAGAGACAATGCACTGCTGGGGTCTCACTTTCACAGAGCTGGATCAGTCCGCAGGAGGGCGAGTTCATCACAGCCCTACGCGATACATCGGCTGTGAGCCTGGCACTTCCCCGCCTATCAAGACAGCAAGGTGCCTCGGCGGTGTTTGCAATCGGGCTTTCAGGCTTAAAACGTAGTAGATGTTATTGTGCATCATGCCCTACGACCAGCAGTGCCTTTTCATCAGACGCCAAGCAAAACGTTGCTTCACTGTGATTGAAATTACTTGATACTAAATATATAGGAGCGAGGGCTTCTCCAGGCATTGCACAACGTGATGACAGCTGCTGGCTCCATGTGTCGTAATTCCCAAGACCGTACGGCAGACGGTCCCAGTACTCGTTCAGATGGTGTGGATGTTTAGCATGGCTTTCTTGAGACGAGATTGGCGAGAACGTGAACCGTCCGGTGCTCCGAGGCAAGATCCTGGCCGTACGAAGTGACTCCTTGAACATGGTCTTGCTAAATGTGCATCTCCGCTATGATCAAATCGACTCCGACGCATCCAGGCTTCACAAGGGGCCTGAGAGTTCGAAGCAATCCGAGTAAGTGCTGTGCTTGCAAGTGCTTCCTGCAACAGGCAGACTCGGTCCGACTTGGAGAAGGTCATTCGCTTTTTGGAGGCCATTTAGCACGTTTGAGTTTGGTGCCATGCTCTCGCCAGGACAAGTATCCTGGATCTGCAATCTTCTTCGCTGGCGACACAAATCGAGTTCCGCGCCACCACCGTCTTGACCCATGCGCCGAGGCGCGGCGCAGAAAGACATTTAACTATGTTTCGATGTTCACAGTCATGTTTCGATCCTTTGAGAGGAGAGGCCAAGCTGAGCCATTTTGGGCGAAGCTGTTGAAAGGTGATCGAGCAACTCATTGATGAGTTGGGCCTCCTTTGCATGCCATCGGGCCCCACGAATGTATGCTGGAATGGCAGCCTGGTGTTCACTGAGCTGGGTAGCGCTGGTATGCTGCACGGGACCAAGTGTCATGACAAGGAATGAGCCCCTCAACATCCTCCGACATTGTTTGTTTTTTCCAAAGGGGCACGGTCCGGTTACTGACACCATTTTTGGAACGTGTGCCATGTGCTGATTTTTGCTTCACGAGTCGGCTAAAGTACACCTGATGTCTCTTGCGAACTCCGGCGGACTCGGTCTAATCACAATCCATGTGGGTCCTGGAAATTCTAATGACAAATTTGAATGAAGTTGCAAGACACAATGCAGCTGCACTCTGAGTTGGCGACCTGTTCCGGCTATACATTCGGGCAATGCCTTTCCAAGATTAGGTTGCTTTGACAGTGGCATGTACTGGGACTGACAGCGCAGTTGTATGATAATTTGCATGTGTGTGTTGGGGTGCCCGTTGTAGATGGCCGAGCCAGAGCTGAGGCACGTCCGAAGCCAGTCAGCTTACCTATGCTGATTTCGCTGCGGATTTGACGCGACGACGCGCAGGGTGACGCACGAAGGTTGCCCGATGTGAGCTGCGCATGAGGGAGGACCTGGACCACGTGGCACATTACGACATGATGACAACATGATGACACCATGATGACAACATGTTTGCGAAGATGACGATGGACATTGACAGATGGTCGCTGTTGGCGGACACTGTAATACTCGGATTCAGCGACTGCTTCGGCCGCTCCGCAAAGCC